ACCACTTTCTGAAATCAATAGTCCGTTAGAACCCTATCGGAATAACGTATGCAAGTCACTATCCCATTAGAGTTTCTGACTACGTTTCAGGGGGCTGAGTGTAATTATCGATACCACAGGGACCTTACAGTTATTTAAGCTTACCTCAGGGGGTTGTGTGTAATTTACCCTAAAAATAAAATATGTTTTCAAATATGCCACATGTAATATAGATGGCCATGCTTATTTTCACAATTAGAAGTATTTCTAGACTATATGGAAGTTAAGTGATAATTAGCAAAAAATCAAGACTATGTGCAATTTTATGGCTTATATTAATAGAGACAAAACTCGACATTCATCTGGGAAATTAGATGCTACATCTGATTATTTATACCAGGTGCTTGTTAATCGTAAATTTGTACATAATCACCACACATCCATGTGTATATGCGTGCTTACTTGGTGGTTATTTAAGTTCGTATACAATTAACAAGAACCCGATGTATGAAAACCTTCATCTTGGACGAAAATTAGGAACTCCCGGCTTGTCTCCAATACAAGATGCCTTGGCCTCGAAAGGAGAAATATTCTTGTCGATTTGTGAGGATAGTGAATACGCCCAATTGGCAAGACGATCAACCACCGTATTCTTCTGACGAACAACATGCTGAAAAATTCGGCAAAATTATGAATATAACAAATAACTTGTTAACCTTGAACTAATTGACGATTGCTAGCACAAAAAAATATCCCACAATAATACACCACAAATTCGAAATTTGTAAACCCTAAAACACTGAAAACAAAACCACGAATTAATATATTTTCAAACACATTCAAAAGTACAAACAATTTACACATACAAAAAATCATATTTACCTCGAATTAATTAACGACTGCTAGCTTACGACCCCTAACACGTGGCGGCTTCTTATAAAGCGCATGTAGGAAATTTATATAATATCGCGTTCGAGTAATTCTGAAGAAAAAAACCCTCAACTTGTGCTCTCAACTCGCGCCTATAGCTAGAAAATTAAAACATATGTAATTATTAAATCAAAATCTCAATTCTTTGAAAACTAATCTTTACCTAACTTTAATTTTCTTAATCTTGCACTTAATTTATTCCCTCACTGTTTAAAAAAAAAAAACGTGAAGCAGTTGATTTGTCACCTTCATGCTTCAACCAATTGAATAAATAAACTATGCTCAAGTATGTGTACTTATAATACAATATACATACAATGTGATTGATATAGGTGGTGTTTGCAAAAACTTATATAAAATTAAACATAGGTGGTGTTTGCAAAAACTTATATAAAATTAAAAAAGTTAGTGATATTGAGTTAGGTGGTGTTTGCAAAAGTTTTTAGAAATAGATTGTGAACGTTTTTTTTTTCTCTCGTTAACAGTTTTTAGGTGTTTGTAAAATTGACTTTTGTTTTTGCTTATTTTAAAATAAGTTGTTTTAAGCTACAATTTTAAAAACACTCATGTATCTGCTTTTCCTATTCAAATTGATTTCCAGATTTTTTTCAAACACTCCCAACTTCTAGAATTAAGCGCTTAATATCAACTTAACTCACAATCACTAACTTATGCTTTTAAATAAACACCACCTGAAGTGGATATTAAGTGCTTATTTCTAAAAATCTGAGGTGTTTACAAATATGCTGGAAAATCAACTTAAATAGAAAAAAACAGGTCTATGGATGCTTTTAAAAAAATAGCTTAAAACAACTTAATTTTAGAGAAGCAAAAGCAAAAACTAATTTTGCAAATACCTAAAAATAAATTATAAGTTAAAAAAAGCTCAAAAGCTATTTTTAAAAGTTTTTCAAATACCACCATATTAAAATAAGGCATTGCTTAATAAAATGAAGAATGAATGAATAAGGAAAAGGGACACTTGGTTTGTAATTAGTTGCATAGTCGTTGTGCAACCTTATCAATTAAGCACTCCTCTTTTTTTTTCTTTTTTTTTTTTTTTTTTTTTTTTGCCTCCAACCACCACTTCCTCCACCGCAACCCCACCCACCCCCCACCCCCTCCAACATTAGGTATCTTTTAGTTATATATTTTCCTATTATTTAATTAATTAGTTGAAAATAACCAATCAAAAAAAAAAAAAACAATTAAGAAATTTCCACAATGATATTGGTGGGATTCTACCTCATAAAGCATCTTTAAAATTCAACCCTTTTTCCAATTAAAATTCTCCACAATTTCAAGAATCTTTAAATTTTAATTCTTGAAAAGATGAAGAACAATTTGAGCAACAATGGCACAAAGCTTATACTTCTTCATCCTTACATACAGAAGCAAGGGAGCTCCAATCGGCTATGGCTTCTTGTTTTTGTCTCCTTTCTCACTCTAGCTTTTCTCGCTACACTCATCTACACCCGCGAATCCATATCCTTCTCCGCCGCCGCCGCCACCACCTCCGCCGTCTCGGTGGCGGCGGCGGCGGCGGCGGCGCCCAGGATGCCGTCCGCCGTGGCCAGGGCGCTCGTCCACTACGCGTCGAGCTCGAACAGCACGGACCACATGTCGTACACGGACATCAAGCAGATCTCCGACGCGCTGCGGCAGTGCCCGCCGCCGTGCAACTTCCTAGTGTTCGGCCTCACCCACGAGACCCTACTCTGGCGGGCGCTCAACCACGGCGGCGGCGGCAGGACGGTGTTCATCGACGAGAACCGGTACTACGCGGCGTACGTCGAGGAGAAGTACCCGGAGATCGAGGCCTACGACGTGCAGTACGCCACCAGGCTGGCCGACATGCCGGAGCTGGTGGCGGCGGTGAAGGAGCAGTCGCGGAACGAGTGCCGCCCCGTGCAGAACCTCCTCTTCTCCGAGTGCAAGCTCGGCCTGAACGATCTGCCCAACCAGCTGTACGAGATTGACTGGGATATCATATTGGTGGACGGGCCGAGAGGGTACTGGCCGGACGCGCCGGGGAGGATGGCGGCGATATTCACGGCGGCGGTGCTCGCCCGGAGCAAAAAGGGCGGGAACCCGAAAACACATGTCTTCGTGCATGATTTCAATATGAAGGTGGATAGAATAACGAGCGATGAGTTCTTGTGCAGGGAGAATCTTGTGAAGTCGAAAGATATGATGGGCCATTTTGTTCTTGAGAGAATGGACGCCGCCGCCACCCAGTTCTGCCGGAGCAGCCATTCGCCGCCGGCTTCGTCATCTTGATAATAATCCTGATAATCGCGTGTTGAATTTTGGCTTCTTTTTTTTCTTACTTTTGTTAATGAGTAGTCGGTATAAAAATGAAGCTTGATAATTTAATTGATTTTCCTCCCAAATAATAATTTCTTTTCTTTGTCTGATTCTTGTAGTACGCTTTCTGTACTGGTACAGTATAAAGACACGCCTTTTCTTTTCTTCTTTAATCGTGTTTCTTGTGTTTATTTTATATTTTATATAAGGGAGCGGCTAAAACAAGTACTGTTTTTTTCTGACTTCAATACCACCAACATAAAAAATAAAAGAAATAAATAGATAATAAATAGGTAATGACATTATTACCATTAATGAAAATCAATACCTTACACAAAATTTGTGTTGTATTGATTTTATTAAGGGTATTAATGCCATCACCTATTTAATTTCTAATATTTCTGTTGGTGGTATTGAAGTGAGAAAGAAACGGTATTTGTTTTAGTCGTTCCCTTTATATAAACTTACTATATAGTATATACTTACACCGGTTGGTGGAAATTGAAACATAATTTTTTTTATTTTCGCCGATTCCAATCCGAAACTTTCCGATTTTGAAATAATATTTTTCAATCCGAGTTCCGAAATTATTTGGATATGAATTGGAATGAATATGTATGAGATTCTGATTTCCGATCCGATTTTAAGTTACGATTTTTAGGTGACCAGAAAATAGAAATTTTCGAATTTTACCAATTCATATCGGAAATTTTCCAATTTTTTAACACAAGTTTTTTCATTCCAATTTCCGAAATTCCGATTCCAATTTTGTTTGGAACGGAATCGAAATTGGGAACAAGTTTTTTCACTTCCAAAGAAACATTAGAATTTTTCCAAAAGAGCTTATTCCGATCAATTCCATCCGAGTTACACCTCCGTAAAATAATTACCCAAAATTCAGAAGGCTAATCGTTTTAAAAGCAAAATTGAAATAAGAGATAAACCAAGATCTAAAATAAACATTTGACCAAGATGAGCCTTGTTATACAGCCCAACTTTATAAAGATCATCATACTAGTACAAAAATCTTTGGGGTATAGTCTACACAGTAAACAATACCTAAAAAAAAATTAATAATAAAATCATGGGACTTCAATAAATATGTTAGAACTTAAACTCTCACACAACATCACTAAATTTAACCACAAAAAAAATAAGCTACAAATCAAGCCGAGTTTCCATTCGCAGACATCTCGATCGAATCATTATCCTTGACATGAAGAGGAATCTTCACACCGAGCTCTCTAAGCCTATCAACCAAGCCATAAAGAAACTCAAACGTAAGCTTATACTGCGAATTAAAATCCTCCCTCACGCTCGGATGAACCCTAAACCACTCTCCCAGCAGCTTATGCACGTGCGAACGAACCATTCTCCAAGGCACCGGATACTTCTCGCACATCCTCAAATACTCCACCGCCAGCTCAGCCTGGTCCAAATCCCCCTCCCTACACACCCCAGGCGGGGCCCACTCTGGAGTTCTATATCCGGCAAAGAGAGCTGGATTTTCGAGCAGTGCCTCTGCAGAGAGGACGCCTTCTGTACCTGTCTCCTCCAAGCACTGCCACGCGTCTTCTACGTACCTTATGTTGCCGTTGGCAATAACGGGGATTCTGACAGCTTCTCTCACGGCCTTGATTATTTGCCAGTTGGCGCGGATTTTTTTCCCGTCCTTTTCGTCTCGAGTTCTTCCGTGCACGGCTAGGAGAGAGCACCCTGCTTCCTCGAGCATTTTGGCGTAGTTTATTGTGTCATGTAGATCTGGGAAGATTCGGATTTTGCAAGAAACGGGGACTGTTAGGTTTTGGGATAGTTTTTCGACGAGGGATTTTACGAGGGGGAGTTTGTCCATTAGGAAAGCTCCATAATTTCCTCGTCTTGCTATTCGCTGTGGACACCTACACGAGAGATGTAGAATAAACCAAGATTAGTTTTGTTTCATATACAAGACAATTCAATGAACCGCTTGCTCACAAATAGGTCGATAGATTTTATTATGGGTGCATGTCGAGACTTTATACACTCCAAATTTTCCCTCAAATTACCATGGATGTTTCAGAAAAGCTAACGTAGGCAAATTGTCTCAGCACTAAAACCGAACAGCTGTGATGCAGCTAAACAAGATCAAGAATCAGAACATCCAGAAACACCAAAAATTACAATCACCCCTTAAAACATTACAGCGATCAAGCGCAAAAACCTAAGCAACTAATCTTCCGTATGGCACAATTAAGAAGGCTAACAAAGTGTAAAGACCAAAGCAATAAATGCGTACAGCATATTTCGTGATTGAACGAGGAATAAAAATAGCATCTTTTGCTTTAGTATTACAGTAACAACTTGCAAGTTGCAATTGTTGCTACTCGAGATACTTCAACGAGAAAATGTCAAACAAGTTCGGTTTTCATGGGGATTAACGAAAAAACGAAAAGGGTGCAGAGCCTTCGATAATAAATGGAGAGTATG